AGGTAGAGGAAGAGATAGAAACATCAATGATGAGAGGGAATCATTGACTGGCTGCCTCCTGCATGCCCCTTACTAGGGACTGAGGCATGTGCAACCCAGGCATGTGCCCTTGACTGGAATAGAACCCGGGACCCTTGAGTCCACAGGCTGACGCTCTAAACACTGAGCCAAACCAGCTAGGGCTCCCTTCTTTCTTTTTATGGGGATCTGTTTTGGGGTTGATCTGGCACACAACACACCTAGATATTATTTTTCATATGACTGTGAGCCACGGTTTAATATAAGTAGCTGTTTCCTGGTAATGGGAATTTCCATTTGAATTATGGCTTCTTTTCTGTTTCCAGGAAGACTGCTTTTGCCAGGTTCAAGCAGGAACCTAAGAAACCTGCTTGTTAGCAAATCCGGGACTTCTGTGCTGAAACTTTATAGCCACAAGATGCCAGATGGTTCAAGGTAGCTATAGGATTAAACATTGCTGAAATGATGTCCCAGCAATTAAGAGGTCATCGACATACTGTATTGTAAACAGCTCCTCCTTCTAGGTTTAGGCCCTTTAAGTCCTTGGCTCAGAGTCTCCTCAAAAATCATGGGGGAGTTCTTGAACCCTTGTGGTAAGACTGCACTGCAGCACTGAGTCTTGACCCGAGATTCCAGGTCCTGCCGTTCAAAAGCAAACAATGGTGGAGAGTCTTGTTCAACTAGATGCAAAGAAGGCACCTTCTAAGTCTGGTACTGAATGCCAGGGGCTGTCCCTGGGTGTACTGTTCACCGAAGTATAAGGATTCAGGGTAGTGGGGTGAATGTCCTGTACAGTGTCATTTGTGGTCCTAAATCTTGTACAAATTGATACTCATTTGAGTGGGGTTTCTTAACAGGCAATATGGGTGTATTGTGTGGGGAGCGGCAGGGCCAAGTCAGTACATATTCCTGAGACCTCTGAACTATTGGGCATATTCCTTCTAGGGTCTCTTCCTGCAAGGATTACTGCCTCTTACTGGGAGCCCCTGTCCTTGGCTTGAGGTCAATTGCAACAGGTCTGTGTACATGCCTTACACAAACAAACCGTTGTATCTCCCACAATAGCCCTAAGATCGTTAACAGACAAGGAATTGGGACATAGGGAGATCCTTGTGGCTCCTCATGGCAGAGATTCCAAGCCAGGCAGAGGGCTTCTGGAGTGGATGCCCGAAACACTAAGACAAATAACGATTTTCAGGTGGCAGGCAGGCAAAAACCGAAGCTGAGCCAGCCACGTCCCCTGGGGGAGGAGGGCGGTCATTATAAGGTGGGCCCAGGCCTTGCCCCATAGGTGCTCTGGGGCCTGGGTGTAGCCTAGGAGGTACCTGTCTTGTTAACAGGTTGGGGTGCTGACAAGCAGTCCCTCTGAGATCCAAGGCCCAGGATGAAGCTTCAGGACCCCATGGACAGATAGACACCTGCCACTCCAGGCCAGGGCCCCAGGGCCCCTGCTACGCTGCACCTACATCACTTGACCAGGAGTTTGAGGAGCCTGCATGGCCCCTCTTGTCAAACAGACCATTCACCCACCTCATCCTGAGATTCAAGAATCCCTTGAAGGAGAACCAAGATGGCGGCAGAGGGAAACACCGGAGTTTGCTGCCTCAAACAACCACTTCAAAAATATAACTAAAAGACGGAAGGGACATCACCCAGAACCACAGGAAAGCTGGCTGAGGGGAAATTCTTCAACTAGAAGGAAAGAGAAAAACACTGAGACTCAGAGGAGGCACAGTGCGGAAAATACAAAGGTGGGGAGGTGCGCGTGGAGCGGGCTGGTGGCTGAGGGCACGGTTGTCATTTTCAATCGGGAGGGAGTCTCAGGCTCTGAGCTCAAGTTCTGGTTGAGTCTCTAGGGACCCAGATGCTGGGGTCCAGTGCCAGAAGGTCCAGGGGTCCCCAAAGGTGTGGACGGAGTCGGTGAAGAAGGAATGACACGGAGACCGT